GAAGAAGCCTCTGAAGTCAGCACTGAGCATTGACAATAGAAACTGAATTACTTAGAGCTAGATTTGAATAGAATAGCTTGCGTCCTCTGTTCCGCCTTCCACGGTATGACCAGATTACCTCCAGTCATTGCCCCAACAGGAGGGTTTTCTTCAGAGGTGGCAGCCCCACTGCCGTTCACCCCTGCATCCCATTATCATTACATTCCAGGAGCAGTTTCTTACTCTAAAGAGAAAACCAGGACTCCTAGTGATAGTCTTCAGAGTGATTGACTGACCGATGGGAAGAGATAGGAAGAGCCTTTGGGAATTAGTCTTTGCGTGAGTATGAGTCCTGGCGGGACGCAGGGTTATGGTTTTGAGCTGAGTCTTTGTAACCTGTCAGGCGCAAAGGGGGCAGGAATCATTTGTGGTTATTTGGAGAATCATCATCCCCCACCCCACCCCAACCCTGTAGGGTCTCTAGCCACACTTATGCACACCTCCACCTTAACCGGCCTCCTAAGAACAATTGATTTTCTTTTTCCTGATCGTGAGTGAGAGTAAACACTATAATTAATTTCTTTACCGTTTGTAAAATTGCACAGTTCGAGTTCCCACATGAGAATAAAAGGATTAATGCTTATGTCTGCTGCTTATTTTTCCTATTCTCTTTCCAAGGATGTTCACCTTATAGCCATTTTATCTCTCAAATTCACAGCTGTCTAATTAATCCTTACTCTTGTTAACCTAATATATACATACTGGCATGTTGCACACATACACACACACACACACACACACACACACATGCACACAAGGGCCTGTTTGTTTTGGTATGAGCCCAGTAGTCTTGTCTTGTGTTGCGAGGCTGTTTCCTATGATAAAGCATGCAGTGTTGATCCCCTGTGGGTCCAGTAACACATGCAAACCTCTCTTCATTGCTGCAATAACATATGCAAAACAGTGCCGCTGGCCCAGTACCCCCCCACCCCCCACCCTAACTGTGCACATCCAGCCCCTCTCTCCTCTTAACACACACACATACAGGCCTGTTTGCTTCACGGATTGTGTTTGATAAGAGTGTGTGTGTTTCTTCAGATTGTAGTCTGTAACAGTCTGAGCTTTGTGTTGGCCGAAGGATTATCATGGCTTTGCCACCAGCAGCTAAGGCAAGAGGAAAGCGGGCAGAGGAGAGCAGGGCTTAGTGAGAGAGACAGTGTATATGTTGGGACAAACTGTGGGAAAACAGGTGTGTGTGTGTGTGTGTGTGTGTGTGTGTGTGACAGAGAGTGCTCATGTGTCTGTGTATATGCATGAGAGGCCATGGATGACTGGTTGTCTGTGTCCACACAGTGAAGCCCTTAGGACCTTCTCAGACACACTGTTATACACTTACATACACATCCTAAATGTTCAGTCCTCTACCCAGCTTCAGTCTGACTGGCAGAGTGTCTCTGAATAGCTCCAGAAGCTTTTCATGTCATAATAGCAGGCAGTGAATCAGACTTTCCTACTGTTTGTGTGCTCAGAGGAGTTAGTTAGCTCAACAGAGACACTTGGTTTTAATGCTGAGAAGTGTCTGCCTAGCAAGTTTAAGAATGAGCAGGTTAGGGCCTTTTGTTCTAGTTGATTTAACATCATACATGTGCACTTATCCAAATAGTCATTAAATAAGAGAAAAAAGAAGGAAAACATCATGGAATATGGACATGTAAAGACCCCTGCCCCGTATACACAGGCTATAATAGAGGTTCACACAAGGATCAAAATGAAAATTGTAAAAATGTCCCAAAGTGCAAGTGCATAACAGTTCAACAAGTTTGTCCGCCATAGTGGAATTTGTCTTCGACTTGTCCTCATCACTAGAACATAATTCAGACATAGATCATTACAGACAACAGCAAATAAAACAGCTGAGACATTACTGATACAAACCACAGGGAAATCTCTAGCAGTAGCATAGGTCAGTGGTTTCCAACCTGAGTGTCAGGACCCACACAAGAACTCGCAAGATAAATTTAAGGACAGGAGCAAGAAAAACCATAGTTCTGCTTCACAGAGTTATAGTTACCTACGATTTTTCTAGTGATTCACTGGATAGCTTTACCCTTTCAGACCTTTATAAATTAAATAAAGGGAAAAAATCACATTTTACAGCTAAGTACAAATGAGGGCTTGAAAGTAAATATGACATTGAGTCATCACAGCCACAGATCCACAAGGTAAAATTTTTAGGCCTTTTTATTTTTTAAATTCAGTTCAGCGGGCCATTTAGGTGTTGATGTGACATGTTGCCTTTCTAAGTCCCCTAATGGTGTCAACAACTATTTAGATTTCAATTATGTGTTGGAAATATATAGTAAAGTAATGCATGACCTCATAGCCTGTTTCTTTTTATGAATTTAATCAGAAACTGGTTTTGGTGGATATCTTTGGAGATACATGACCTTTTTTTAACTGTTGCCATGTTTATCAAATAAGAATCATTCAGGTTTAGGAATAGATTCATGTCTAGCTTTTCCAAAGATGCATTTTGATGCCATATTGATGCTAAATTAGCAAATTCCATGCTCAGATAATGGGTATTTCTAAAACTATGCCTGTGTCATATTGACTTTTACTGCACAGACAGACTCTCTAGGACGCCACTCCAAATCCCTGAGAAAGAAACGGAGACCACAAACTGATATGATCCTTGAGGCCCTCACCCTGATAGCTATTTAGATGGCTCTGATAGGAAGCACCAGATGAAAACAGAGAGTGGGAATGAGAAAGAGATGAAGGTTCATCCAGTTAATAATGTATGAGGCAGGCGACTCCTCACGCACATGCATAGAGGCGCACATTAACTCCGGGTTTTCACACAACTATCACAGGTTAATGAGAGAATAGGAGGGGATTTCATTTTTTCTTTTTTCTCCTCTCTCATGCTTTCATTCTATGTGCTGGATCAGAGTATGTGGAGATAACACAATCCCAAGCCACAGACAGTTTGTGAGACGACCCCCAAACTCTGAATTCAAGCCACAGTACACAGTGAAGACAGTGAAGCATGGTGGTGCAAGCATCATGATATGGGCATGTTTCTCCTACTATGGTGTTGGGCCTATTTATCGCATACCAGGGATCATGGATCAGTTTGCATATGTCAAAATACTTGAAGAGGTCATGTTGCCTTATGCTGAAGAGGACATGCCCTTGAAATGGTTGTTTCAACAAGACAATGACCCCAAACACACTAGTAAACGAGCAAAGTCTTGGTTCCAAACCAACAAAATTAATGTTATGGAGTGGCCAGCCCAATCCCCGGACCTTAATCCAATCGAGAACTTGTGGGGTGATATCAAAAATGCTGTTTCTGAAGCAAAACCAAGAAATGTAAATGAATTGTGGAATGTTGTTAAAGAATCATGGAGTGTAATAACAGCTGAAAGGTGCCACAAGTTGGTTGACTCCATGCCACACAGATGTGAAGCAGTTATAACAAACTGTGGTCATACAACTAAATATTAGTTTAGTGATTCACAGGATTGCTAAATCCTAGAAACAAAAACGTTTGTACAACATAGTTTTGTGTTTGTACAGTCAACGGCAGACACTGCTATTTTTTTGAACACACCCCTTTCAACTAATTGCCCAATTTCACAGCCTTAAGAGCGTGCATATCATGAATGCTGGGTCTTGTTTGCTTTCTGAGAATCTACTGCACCTACTGGTAACTTGTTTGCCATGTAGCAATAAAAAATATACTAAAAACCTGGATTATTCTGGTTAGTCACATTGTACTGCTATTATTTTGAACAATACTGTAATTTTGTGATATTGTGATGGAAAAATTTCTCGATACCATCCTGGGACTGTGACAGTATCTACCAGGATATTCCATGTGGTTATTTTGCTAGTATAACTGTATTCAGGTCACAGAATTTGAAACTGACATAGTAGGTGCTCCACCGTCGATTTTTAGAGCTGTTGTGAGGCAGCACTTCATGTTCTTGTTTCAAGAAATGGCACAGGCAGAAAGGAAACCCACAAATAATTTGCAAATGAAGGCAATACTAGCCCTGTTTAGAACTGAGACAATCCTGGATACACTTGACAGAAGCAATCTGGACACGGCTGTGCACAACAATTTAAAGACAAGCACTTTTATATAACAGGAAAATCATACAAAAGAAACCCAGCTGGTTTATTATTTAATAAAAGGCTTTTTTTGTCTTTTTTCTTCATTTTTTAAAAATATAATGACAAATATCACAGGTCACTGAATTTGAAACTGACATAGCAGGTGCTCCACTGTCGATTTTTAGAGCTGTTGTGAGGCAGCATTTCATGTTCTTGTTTCAAGAAATGGCACAGGCAGAAAGGAAACCCACAAATAATTTGCAAATGAAGGCAATACTAGCCCTGTTTAGAACTGAGACAATCCTGGATACACTTGACAGAAGCAATCTGGACACGGCTGTGCACAACAATTTAAAGACAAGCACTTTTATATAACAGGAAAATCATACAAAAGAAACCCAGCTGGTTTATTATTTAATAAAAGGCTTTTTTTGTCTTTTTTCTTCATTTTTTAAAAATATAATGACAAATATCATATCGTGGACTTTTTATCTTGGCAATATCATACTATGAGGTTTTGGTATCTATAGCCCTAAAAGCTAGAAATATTTATTCCTTAAGATACTGGTGGAGCACAGGGCAAGTTGCTGCTGAAGATGTTAACAATACATTTCACATCCAGCTTCTTCAGGTATATTCATCAGGCTCAGCTTCTAGAGATCTGGTTTTTGGTCCCATGTAAACCTCAACAATCAAATTTATTCAGTGATGAAGTAGATGTTGTTCACAGTGACACTCGTGTAGGGAATGGTGGAAGACTTTTTCAAAACAGTCTATCTTCCTCATCCTTTGTGTGTTTCTGTCCAGAACTTTATAATGTGATCACTCCTAATATATTTTTTTGTTTACTTGTATGTGATTTCTGCATGTGCATGCACATGCTGTCTTGGCTTTGTGTATGTGTTCATCAGGAATGTGAATGCAGGATGTTTGATGGAGTTTACCCCAACAGGCCCGACATATCATTTTATGAGACGGAGGACAAAACCTTCCAGAAGCACATCAGACAAAAAATTCAAGGTAAGTCCACATGTCTGTCTTTTCATTATGACTGCAGTCTTTATTTGTCGCTGCATTGGTTCAGGAATCATGGTTTATCTTCAGTGCAGTGTTAAAAAAAAAAAAAGATTACATTTCTCATTTATTTAGAAAGGTAAAGTTTTGAAGGGTGAATATCAGAATTCTTACAGTTTAAAACAATACAATCAACTTTTGCATAGTAAAGTAATTTAAAATAAAAAATGATAAAATGCAGTGTTAGTATTGTTCCCATTTAACAGAGCTCAGGCATGTTGAGCAAATGCTTAAAGGAATAGTTTGGTATTTTAGGAACTGTGCTTACACCAATCAGCCATAACATTAAGACCACTGACAGGTGAAGTGAATAACATTAACTATCTGTTACAGTGGCACCTGTCAGTGTGTGGGGTATAAGTGAACATTCTGTCCTCAAAGTCGATGTGATGTGAAAATGGGTAAGCGTAAGAATCTGAGTGACTTTGACAAGGGTCAAACTGTGATGGCTGACTGGGTCAGAGTATCTCCCAGACTCCAGGTCTTGGTGGGTGTTCCTGGTCT